AATGGCCCAAAATAAAACAAAAACTAAAAGACGTTTGGTATGTGCGACATGTGCTGATCCCACACCTGACCACATCTGCATATCTGCCATACACACGATCTCCCAAAATATTGGGTTGTCAGAAAAGTCATGACGTGTTTTTTCTTCCCGCAAATGTGTTATGACTTTTTGATTTTTTCCGGCAACTCTAGGTGTTTTATGAGATAATCAGTTGCCTTATAAATCGTCCTGGTCTTTTCTGGTGGGTAGGCTGAGGCACCCCTGGTTTCACACCCCCAGGCACATTGCTCAATAAACTTTCCTTTTTCTTTCGAGATGACATCCTCTGGAGTCTTACTCTCAACCATGATGCCTGTGGCCTGTAAGCCTAAATTTTCAGTTATCCCACCTTTGGGGTCAAACCAATGTAGATCGTCCATGTATTGATTTACAACTTTGCTTGTAGTTTCTGCTTTACCAATAAATGTATTAAAGAGTTTTTGTAACTTGACACCTTTGAGAACTTTCTCAAGGCATCCTGAGTTTATGCTTTTCCAGAACAGTCATTCATACTGGCTTAGAAAAAAAAAGAGTTCTACAATATTTTAGAGTTTGTTTCTTCCCCATCAACAAGAATCTCTCTCTCTCTCTTTTAAGGTTTTTGTCATAGGGCACATGTGCTCAACAGAGACAGACAGAGATAGTCAGGGGAAAGTGAGAAATCATTCCCCAGGTGGATGGACACACCATAGGCCCTCTTCCTCCATTTTCCCCCCACAATTTTGGGCACGCACACACACTTGGCTTGATTTTCAAGTCGCCGGGCTCAGGAGTTGAACCATGGTCAGCCATGTGCGAGTGCAGTATCTTTAGTACCATGCTACCTGCTGGCCCCAAGCATCTCTTTAAAACTTGGTGTCTGGGGGCTGTATTTTAATTAGCAGCAGGGATGTCTTGTTTGCTCACTGCAAACAACAGGAAGAAAATTAATTGTACTTACCACTTTTATGGATTTGGTGATGTCCTTAGAATCTAATTGCAAGACATTTCCAATAATTGGCAGAGGAGTAGGACCAGGTGGGAGCTTCCCTTTGCCGTGCTTTCCATTCCACAGAGAAAGAAGAATCAAACAAGAAAGGCAAATGACCAGAATAGTGAAGAGATCCATTGATGTGCTTTGTGGAAATGCAATTGAAAGCTTAAGGTCTAAAGATTTATAAGTTCAAAGTGCAAGTTTGTTACCAAACATTTACTAAGTCTCTGGACATTTAATAAATATTGCTTATCATTAGTGTACTTCCTTGACCTGCTGATAGAGATGATAAAATTATAAAAAATAACTCCAAAGTAAAAGTTATAAAGAAAAAGAAATTTATTACTGTCATAATGCTAGCTCCAGATAAAAGCCAGACCCTTAATTTTAATTAAAGAACTGACCTTAATTGTTAAATCAAGGGTAAAATTAATCACAAATCTGATTTAAAATTTTAAAATAATTATTTATTTATTTATTCATTTATTTTAATTTGACCAGAGAGAGAGACACAGAGAGGGAGGGAAAGTGAGAAAGCAAGTTACCCGGTCCAGCACTCGAACCATGGTTAACCATGTGGGAGTGTCCAATACCTTAACCACCATGCCACCTGCTGGTCCCTGTGTCTGAACCTTAAATCAATTTTAAAGCAAATTGTTTAAAATTCAACAGTTATTGAGTCAATAATTTCTCCATAGATAAATAAAAATGAAACTTCAGAAAAACTGGTCTTTTTGCCTGTAGAAGGTTGGGAAATAAGGATTCAAAAAATGTAATTATTCCAACAAAATAAAGTTACTAAGTTTCAAAACTTATACATTGTCTCAAGATATATATATTTTTTCCTTTGGAGAGGTTTTTGCTCTATGGCGTGTGTGCTCGCCTGAAAGATAGAGACAGAGAGACAGAAAGCAAGAAATCACCCCCCAGTGGGGATGACCACACAGCAATCCCTTCTCCTCCATTCTCCTCTTGGGATCTTGGGCACGCACACACACACACACACACACACACACACACACACACGTGAGCGCCCGGCATGAGTTTAAGCCACGGGGTCCAGGACTTGAACCACTGTCAACTCCATGGGAGTTCTAGAGACATAGCCATTACGCTAACTACTGGTCCCTGGAAAACAGATTTTTTAAAAAAGTTTAGTTACTTACAAAAGTAACTATGTGGCATTCTATACCCAGCTCCCCCCACCTCCCACCTTGGGCCCCTGGGCCCTGCTGTTGCACCCTGATATTTGGTGTTTTCTCAGGGAAGAAGCCTAAGGCAAACGATTTCAAGGACAGAGCATCAAATTGCTACAGCACTTACACAGAGTAGAAATTATTGGGTATCCACTAGAAAAAGAAGAAAACCTGGTGATGCCTCCCAGGAATGTGGGTGGGAAAACAATAACACTCAGGACATATGATTAGCATTTGGATTATAGGTACACCCATGCAAGTCCAAGCTGGAAAAACGAACAAAAAAAATGCTGTATTCACATTTTTATTTTGTGTTCGTGGAGACACCATAGCAGGGGCATGAATTCTAACAGTTAAGAGACTCATTCCTGGGGCTCCTAATCATCGTTGCCCTACCGGACCA